CACCTGCAGCACTAATGCAGCGCTCACCTGCAGCACTAATACAGCGCACACCTGCAGCACTAATGCAGCGCTCACCTGCGACACTAATGCAGCGCTCACCTGCAGCACTAATGCAGTGCACACCTGCAGCACTAATGCAGCGCTCACCTGCAGCACTAATGCAGCGCACACCTGCAGCACTAATGCAGCGCTCACCTGCAGCACTAATGCAGCGCTCACCTACAGCAATAATGCAGCGCTCACCTACAGCAATAATGCAGCACTCAACTACGGCACTTTAGTGCTGGGCGGTATACCGGTTCATACCGAATACCGGTGTTTATTTTTGTTATGATATGAATTTTTAAAATACTGCAATACATGTCGCTTAAACAACGTTCGGAACGCGACACTGTTTGAAAGGGGTCCCTTTTCACTGTTGCACCTGCAGCACCAATGCATCACTCACCTGCAGCACTAATGCAGCGCTCACCTGCAGCACTAATGCAGCACTCACCTGCAGCACTAATGCAGCACTCACCTGCAGCGCGTCCCCGAGGTCGGCTGTACTGATGTCCGGGTCGTCAGTGGTGTTGAAGGGAGCAGGTGTGATCCTGAGGAATGTGATCACACGTGGTTCAGGATACCGCCACAGCATCACACCTGGAGACTCGTCCGTCTCCCTCCAAAACACCACCTCATGAGGCGATGGCAGCTTCTGACATGCTGACAGACAGACAGACAGATATAATCACTCCCTCTTATGAGTGCTATATGAAGATGTAATGTGTGTGTGTGTGTTTGTGTTACCTGAGTCCTGTATGTACTGGAAGATGCCTGTGCGCAGGTCATCAGAGGAGTGTTCTGATTGGGCGGGGCGAGGGGTGGGTGGCGGTGTAGAGAGGAGGGGCTTCTCGTTAGACTCCGCCTCTGTTCTGCTCATCTGATTCCAGTAGTTCTGCAGCTGCTCTTGAATCTCAGACAAACAGTTAAACTGCTGCTGCCCCCAAAACACCTGCGACAGACAGACAGACAGACAGACATACCTTAGATCTGCTTTAAATCGCAGTGATCTGCCCGCTCACCTATTTATTTCATGTTGCATGTGATTTTGCAGATTAATCTGCACCAATAGTTGACTGCCTTAACTAAAAAACAAAATTCCATGCTGAACAAAAATCTATGCAGATAGTTTTCCGGGTTAGGTCCATTGCTGGAGCTAAAATTGTGTATTGTGCATTTTTCAGCAAAACGTTTGTCTTTCTGTGGCTCTAATAAAGTATGTTTCACATAAAGAGCTGTAATATAGGTCGTGGTTTCTCTTTCCGTTTGCTCTGTTTTTACATGCTGAACTTCAAACTCATCTATGCCACTCTGTTCATTCTTGAAGTAAACTTTTACCTGTTTGGTGATTAAATCAACAGTTTTAGACCGCCGCTCGGGTTGAACGCGACGCACCCGGTGTGTGTGTGACACCTGCGAGTCATCCTGCACTTTTGCCCGGTGTGTGACTGCCAGATTGTTTTTTATTAGATAATCATCAACTGTTATAAAATAGAAGCAAATAAAGTGTGAGAGTATACATACAATATCCATACGTATATTATTTTAAATGTTATGGCCCTTGTGTAGATATTTAAAGATGGCCATCTTTAAGCATGACTGTTGAAACGAAACGGTAAGACTTTACAATAAGGGCCCATTTGTAACATTAAGATTAATGAAAGCAAGAAAAGTATTGTTTCTTGTTAGAGTGTTCATTTTAACATTTACTATTACTAATACATTTTTAAATTTTAAAGTTTCTTCTGTTAACATTAGTTAATAAACTATGAACTAACTTTAATGATTAATATAATAATTCATATTAATATTTGTATTCATTTACAAAGTAGAATTTAAAAAAATTGTGAAGCACTATTTTAGTTTTCGTTCAACATTCATTATACAAACTATCAGTTGATTAATCGGTATCGGCCTGTGTGATCCACCCTAGCTATCGGTATCAGTAAAATCGGTCAACCTCTAATTTCTACCCAAACTGCTCCATGATTGACACTCTGGCTGCATTTAATGCAAAACAGTCGCATTAATAAGGGAATCAAATGTCTCAAGGCTAGTGAATCGTCTCTCACACACACACACTCACCAACACACACACACACACACACTCACCCACCCACACACACACACTCACCCACCCACACACACACACTCACCCACACACACACACACACACACGCAGGATTGCAGAAACTCCCAGCGCTCTGTTATTTCCACACAAACACAAAAGCTCTCGTCCTGCTCTGCTGCCAGTTTTTGACGGTAAGACTTTACAATAAGGGCCCATTTGTAACATTAAGATTAATGAAAGCAAGAAAAGTATTGTTTCTTGTTAGAGTGTTCATTTTAACATTTACTATTACTAATACATTTTTAAATTTTAAAGTTTCTTCTGTTAACATTAGTTAATAAACTATGAACTAACTTTAATGATTAATATAATAATTCATATTAATATTTGTATTCATTTACAAAGTAGAATTTAAAAAAATTGTGAAGCACTATTTTAGTTTTCGTTCAACATTCATTATACAAACTATCAGTTGATTAATCGGTATCGGCCTGTGTGATCCACCCTAGCTATCGGTATCAGTAAAATCGGTCAACCTCTAATTTCTACCCAAACTGCTCCATGATTGACACTCTGGCTGCATTTAATGCAAAACAGTCGCATTAATAAGGGAATCAAATGTCTCAAGGCTAGTGAATCGTCTCTCTCTCTCTCTCTCTCTCTCTGTGTGTGTGTGTGTGGCCTGAATCAGCTGGAATCTCTGACCCAGAATGAGTCTGTGTGCCTCTGACTAACAGATTGAACAGGAACATCAGGGGATTTCTGCGTGTTCAGCGGCCATGAAGCATTATACGGACACACATGTGGAGAGACATTGGATGTTTAAGTGAGTAAGAAACAGAAGCAGCAGCAGCGTTTGATATCTTACCTGCAGCAGGCCTCCCTTCATGTCAATCAACACTCTCGGGGGTCCAGGTGAGTCGGGGGCGGAGCTTCCGCTGTGTCTGCACCAATGAGCCTCCAGATCCACACTGCAGGAGAACGGACCCACAAACACTGCACTTTTGTCCTTCAGACCCGTCCGCACCAACACGTCCTCACACTGAACCGACAGACAGACCTCCTTAAAACCATCTAGAGAGAGAATCGGACAGAAATCACATTAGTGTTCACTCTTGAGTGGACTGTGATGATGGACTGACTGCTGGGAGGGTTCAAACTCTGCAGCCATTGAGCACAAATGGTCAGGCATCACGTGTTTGCGTGTTTTAGGTGCTGCGTTGTTCTTCACGTGTGTCTGTAGCTGCTGTCATGTGTCCAGGTGCCTGACAGCATTTCAGACGTTCAGATTCAGATTCACCTCCTCTGATGGATCATCCATGGACACACACGTCTCCATCTGGCACTGACACTCATCTGCGGCTCAGTGAACAACAGGAGAGATTTAGGAGCGTGTGGCTTTGGTCTGGCAGCAGCATGACCCTTCATAACACATAACAACACGGAGTCCCACAGAACAGACACACCACCCACCCACACACACACACACACACACTCACCCACCCACACACACACACTCACCCACCCACACACACACACTCACCCACCCACACACACACACTCACCCACCCACACACACACACTCACCCACCCACACACACACACTCACCCACCCACACACACACACTCACCCACCCACACACACACACTCACCCACCCACACACACACACTCACCCACACACACACACACACACACGCAGGATTGCAGAACCTCCCAGCGCTCTGTTATTTCCACACAAACACAAAAGCTCTCGTCCTGGTCTGCTGTTTACCAGTGTTTGGCCAAACTCTGTTTCGACTGTGTTTAACAAAGGCACATCAAACTGAGTCCGTCTGGCTCGCGGCCGGACACATGTCTCATGCTGCAGTTATGTTCAATCCAGTAAACAAGTGCAAATTGTTGAGGTTTTAATTAAAATTCTCAACAATCACTTTATCTGGAGAAGCTGTATGACAGCATCTGTGGAGCAGATGGGCGCAGGGAACGCTCTGGCTCGCTGAGAGAGAGAAACACTCCCGGAGTCACTCCTCAGCAGTGCTGGCGGTCATGTGATCGAACCCACAGCCATGAACATCACTGACAGTCAATCTGCACGACCTTCCCAGGGCTTCCTGACTTAATGGAACATTTATAAATATTTTTTACACAATGTATTTAAAAATTGGAATTGGAATTACTCAAAATTTTGGTAATACTTTATTTTACAGTGTCCTTGTTACACGTTACATGTACTTACTATTATAATGACAATAAATTATGCATAATTACATGCAAGTAACCCTAAACCAAACCCTAACCATATAGTATGTAGTTAATTAATATGATGCAGTTAAATGTATAAGTACACTGTAACAAGGACACCTTAAAATAAAGTGTAACCAAAATTTCTACTGATATATTTTAATATTTTATAATAATATTAATATTTTTATGATATTTTATTAATTAATTCTAAAATTGGCCACTGCATTTTCAGAATTACCATGACTTTTCCAGGCCTAGAAATCACTTTCAAAATCTTCTGTTCTTCTGAAACAATAGACAGTTGTTGAATTGAGTTGGTGAATTAAAATAAGAAATATCATTGAGTTTTAGCCGTTTTAACTTATTTTAATGCCTTATTTGAAGTAATTTTAAGTCTTCTTCAGGCCCCCTGGCAACATCATCCTCATATGGGCCTGGTAAGCACTCACAGCACTGCATCATGGGAGACCTCCTCACAGACATCAGATCTGCGTCTCCTGCTGAACCCACTTCCTGTGGATCTGCTCAGCCCTGTTAAAGGCTCAGGGAGATTAACTGGATTTCCGGACGGCATAAATCAAACAAACGCTCTGATTATCTGCTGCAGTGCATTGTGGGTAAGAAGAACGGAGCTGGATTAAAGGCCCAATCAAGAGAAACACACACAGCACATGAATCACAGGAAATGCATGGCGTGCATGCGGCTAACCTGCGGGTTTGGCGGCGTTCTTCAGCGTCAGCGCACCGGTCATGGCCGAAACAGACAGCGTCAGACTGGGCCGCGCTGCGTGCGCTTCCATCTCCACACCGACCACCATCTGCACCGTGCGCAGCGAGATCTTGTGGAAGGGAACGGGCGACTGCAGAGAGCGCAGCAGCAGGTCGGCTGTGGGCGGGGCTTCGCTGCAGCGGTGGGCGGAGCCTGCAGGTGTTCTGGGCTCCCTCTCAGGAAAGAGTCTCTTCCAGAAGACCTTCGCCTGCTCAATCTTAACCAGAGTGGGACTGACTCTCACCGGCCGACTGATGTCCACCTTCAACTCTGACACAGAGAGAGAGAGAGAGACAGAGAGAGAGACAGAGAGAGAGAGACACAGAGAGAGAGAGACAGAGAGAGAGAGACAGAGAGAGAGAGACAGAGAGAGAGAGACAGAGAGAGAGAGACAGAGAGAGAGAGACAGAGAGAGAGAGACAGAGAGAGAGAGACAGAGAGAGAGAGAGAGAGAGAGAATTTTACTGGT